CACACACACTCTCACACACACACCTTAACGCTGCGCAGCCCCTTCTGGAAGAGCGACAGCATCTCAGAGAGCTTGTTGTCGGCGTGCACGTGATACACGGTCTGACTGCGCTCCTGCAGCAGCTCCATGATGCACTCGTTCTCGATCTGCTCGTGCATCTTGAACTCCTCAAACGTGGCGAGGAGCGACTGCAGAAACGAGCGGAAGTCCCTGTTGTTGGAGAAGTTGGTGTTGGACAGCTGTGGATGGAAACACACGAAACAAAGCAATGAAATATGACAGAATAATAATCCAGAACATCTCTCTCATCCGTGTCGTATAAAAGATGATCCAGTTACTGACTGGATGCAGGTTTGTACACAGACGAGATCAGAACCTTATAGATTCAGGCCTATAAATCAATCAGAGGGATTTTGGCCATTCTGAGGTTATGATATTGAGATTGTATGCATGACTCGGAAATTATTGTAAAATATTGCCGTTATACTGGCTATCGTCCTCTCTAGACCAGGGGTTTTCACACTGAGGTCTAGGGATGAAAATAAATGAATAATAAAAAGATCTAACTAACTAACCAACTAAATGAATAAATAGATTAAAATAAATAAAAAAAGATAATATAAAGTGAATAAAAAATTATAGAGAGAGCGAGAGAGTATTATATAAATTATTATATTATATTAAATATTTAAATATTATATTAAAATATAAAAACTTGATTAAAATAAACAATGCAAAATGCATAAAATCTAAATAACTAAAAAAATTAATTAAAATAATTGTAAAAAATGACTAAGCTAAATTTTAAAAAATTTAAATAAACAAAAACTTGAATAAAACAGAAAAATAAAAATAGATGAATTAAAAAAAAAATCTAACAAAAAATGATTAAGCTTAAAAATGACAACAATACATTTTAAAAATGATTCAAATTAATAAAAAACCATTGATAAAAAAAGATTAAAATAAACTAATGAAAATAGATAAATAATAAAAAATTTAATCTAACTGAACATAATTAAAATAAATAAAAACTTAATTAAAAAAAAAATAGATGATAAATTTCATCTAACTAAAACTAATGAAAATGCTTAAAATAAAATAAATAAAAAAGATAAATAATGAAAAATGAAAGTAGTAGTAGTAGTATATTTTTATTTAATGCCATCTTAGGCTATTTTCAAGGCAAAAACAATTAAAAAAATACATGTAAAACAAATACAATAAAAACCAGCAAACAAACAAACACACTTTATATTACACAATATTTTCTATGAAAAATATAATCTAGCTAACTAAATAAAAAAATGATAAAAAGTCAAATAAAAATGATAAAAAATGAATAAATAGAAAAATCTGATTAAAACAAACAAATGGAAATAACTAAATAAAATCTAAATACACAAAAATACTAAAATAATGTTTTTTAAAAATGTTAAAAACTTGACTCAAATATATTAAAAAATTATTAAAATCAACAAATTAAATTAAATAAATAAATAAAAATGTAATACATAGTACACAACAGTAGAGTACTCTAGTAAATTGAAAAAAAAAAGTAATATATTACAAACTAAATATTTTCCAAATAATATTTCACACATGAAAACATCTAGCTGCCTTTGTAGGATGACGGTCCCTCACTCGAGGATGATCATATTTATGGGTCTGTAGCATCTAAACGATTGAAAACCTCTGGTCTAGATAACAGCGAGCGTTAGAAACTCCTATCAGAGGAGCATTAGTGTTATATTACGCTGAATGTGTGTCATATGTCTCAAGAGTTCAGACGCTGTCGACCCTGCAGCTGAGATACGAGAGAGAGAGTGTGTGTGTGTGAGTGTGTGTGCATGCACTAAACACAACAAACCTACTGACACAGTAAACACACACACACTCACTCGCGCCATCTTACATAATCAGGCTGTGTGATGTCCCGTGCAGGTTTTAAAGCTACACACTAGTGCTGGGCGGTATACCAGTTCATACCGAATACTGGTGAATGATATTCCAATGAGCCGCTTTGTGACATCACAAAACCCGGAAAACAAACGCTGTAGTCCAAACGAGCCGTTCGTTGTAGTTCTTGAAAAGGGAATTTTAAAAAACAAAATATCTCCCTTTGTTGTGGACTTTGAGATTTCTAACTTTCTAGATCTTTTTAATGTCCAAACATACACACTACACACTGACTAAAATTAAAAAAGTGAAAAAGCATAATAGGACCCCTTTAAAGCTACACACCCACTAAAATGCATTGAAACCATCAGAATCTCCATGCAAAACTCGTTTAGAGTAACTGACATAATCAGACTGAATCAGACGTTTATCTTAAACCAGGTCACTGCATGACACTTTTATTCAGTTTAATATCGTATATATTAATCTGCAATGCATAAAGTGCATTTAAAGTGCTTCAGTCTAGAAATGAACTGATTGTAGATCAGACACTTGAATGTGGCGTGATTCACATCTGTGTTACATATTAATACACAGATTACACGGCATATGAGGCGGTTAGAGCTTCATACTGTGCTAGCAAATCAATAAATAGAATAACGGTTTTCAATATATTACAATATGCAATATTATCAGACACTGCGTATTTATTTCCATATGTCACGTGGGTTAGGAGGAGTTTGAGTGTTTATATTATTATGAGTCAATACAAACGACGTGTTTTTAAAGATCCGAGATCAGAAATTCACAATAAATGCAACCGTATGCAAGTTACGATTATGTTTATATCGCATTTAATAACGTGTTTTGTACAGATCTGGGATCAGACATTCTTGTTAAACTCTCATAGCCTCTGTCTAAGGATACGAATGGGATAAAATGTGAATAATACATAAAAATAAAGATTAAATAAAGCGTTTGTGCTGATGTGAGATCAGACGTTCACATTAAACTCTGTGTATTAGCCGTCAAGCTAACAATTAGCGCTCCTCAAAACACACCATTAAACGACTTTAAAAACTCCCTCAGTTGGTAAAATAAGACGTAAAACGTGTCAGACACTAACCTTCTCGCTGTAGAGCCCCACCAGCTGCTTCATGCGCCAGTGAGGCCCGGTAAAAACATCCACCTCGTCGGGAAACGGAGCCATCGCGCCTCCATCAGCTCCCCCCGCGGACTGAGCGCGAGAGGCCAGATCCTCCGGTAAAATCCCTCCTCGCAGACGAACAACAAAACAAAGTAATAAATAAATATAAAATAAATTAAATAAAATCCCACCACACGGAAGACTGCAACAACAGCATAAACGAAATATCAATATATATGTAATATTAAAAATAAACATCCTCCTCTGACTCTCTGAGAAATTAGTGCTGTCAAACGATTAATCGCGATTAATCGCATCCAAAATAAACGGTTTTGTTTACATAATATGCATTACTTTTAAAAGTAACTTTCCCCAACACTGAATATATGTGTGTGTTGTGTATATTTATTATGTAAATACACACACATACAGTATTTTGAAAATATTTACATGTATATATTTATAGTCATAGAATTAACATTATATATAAATATTTTTAATATATAAACATATTTTTCTTAAATATATACATGCATGTTATACATACATAATATACACAGATCACACACATATATAACGTAAACAAAAACTTTTATTTTGGATGCAATTAATCACGATTAATCGTTTTTTTTTTATATATATAAAATTTATTTTTTTATTTTTTAAATTTAACTTTTACATTTTTTTTAAGTTTTAGTAATTCTTGTTTGTTTTTGTCATTTTTAGTAGTTTTCCTTTATGTGTGTGTGTTTATAGTTTATTCATTTTTATTTTAGTTTTTAGTTATTTTAGTACAAGACGTTAAACTACATGAAAATGAGAAATGATGCCTCGAAATAAAGCTTTTTTATTTAGGGTTTTAGTTGTCGTTTTAGTGAACTATAACAACCCTGAAACGTATTAGAACAGTGATACAATGTAAACATAACCCTCCACAACACACAAACAATATGCATTAACAAAAACAAAACAAAAACACAGAAATAATATTTAAAAAATCATTATACAGTAAGAAAAATCCTTATGGCTACCTGTGCCATAATATATTTATTAATAAATTGTTACAATGCAAAGCATTGTTTTTGTTGTTATTATTATTTAAAAATGGCATGCATTAACAATTTTAAATTGCATTATCAACAAATGAACACTGAATGAAATTGAATGTTTCTACACAAAACAGGAACATCATAAAAAACACATTTCAGCGACAGCCGGCGAAATATTGACGCATGTATCTCTGGTATCTATTGGGTTTAATGTGATAAGCGAAGGCGAATTCAACAGACCAAAAGCACTTGGCAACCCGAATAACGCCATTACGTCCACGTGTGTAGTGACGTGTTCAAGACGAACAAACGACATGTAAAAACGGTAAAAACACATGCATGCATGCCATTACATAACGCACAAATGCATACAAACATGTCATTAAATAACGGGTATATGCATATAGAACAATAGTTAAGACACATTAAATGTTACTTTTTTCTTTTAATTTCCATTATTACAGTATAAACCGACTGTAAATGTAGCACAGTGTATTAAACTGAACGAGAAAATAGTAAAGAGAGAATTTTAGACTTTATTTACTGCAGCAAAATCATGATTATTCAGCTTTAAAGTAATAGACAAGGTGCAAGTAAAAAACAAACAAACACAAAGTTATATTAAACCTCTCACCTTACAAACATATGGTTATATTGCATGAATAAACGTGTATGGAATAAAATTTTATTTCAGATGCTCCAGAGATACCAAACATTAACTTCACCAAAAACCTGCCAGACGATGATCAGAGTACAAATATCGAATCAACAACCAAAAACAAATAAAGGAATGACAAGCCATTAAAACGTTTGCCTTCACACAACTCTAAAGTGTTTATGGACTCGATATGTGTGCTTTTAGTGTTTGAGCACTACAACCGTTCAGCTTTTTGAGTTTCGGTTTGCTTGTACACCTCTGAAAGAAGGTCTTCATTGCAGAAATTAGTCAGAAATAAAAGATAAATCAGCAAACTACATCTGATTTGTGTGTTCTCACTAATTACGATCTTAGTTCTGTGCATGTTGGCACCTCACCGAATCCCTCTGCTGCTATCAACACATTTATTAAACATTCTTATAGGAAATCCTGATATTTCAGTCCAGTCAGATTGAGGAAATAGTAGAAACGTCCTGCTGATTTCTTCATTTGAGCGCAGCAGTGTGTCCTCCAGACCAGAGGAGGCGCTGTCATGCTTTAGCTGTCGTCCTGCAGCATCTCCTCAATCTCACGGTCCCAGTTATCGTCGCGATTTTCTGGGTCGACGACCACCTCGTACTCCTGAAGCTCCTGCTGCAGCTCCTTCTCCCAGTCGGCCGTCTCTTCTATAAGAGAACGAATGGGGAAAACAAGAGAAATATTAAAGACTTTTTCTTGGAGAGCGGGATTTCGAAATAGAGAGGTCTTAAAGGTCAAATAATTTAAAATAAAATAATACAATACAATAAACATCTTCCTCTGGGGAAGAAAAAAAATCTTTAAAAGTCTCAGCAAAAAGAAAAATCATTATGGCATATACAAAATCGTAAAAAAAAGTGAAAAAAAACATTAAAAATTATTATGCAATAAGACAAATAATTACAAAGCAGTGTTACAATGCAAAACATTAATAGTATTAGTATTTAAAAAGTGGCATATATAAACATCCTTTCAGCATTAAAAAAATTTAAACATTTCAGCTATTTCTATTTTTTTAAATAAATAAAAAATTGTATTTGTTTAAATTAAAGTACTTCAATAACTAAAACTAAATAAACTAAAATTAAAAATTTTAATTTAATAAAAAATTATATAGACGTATAAAAAAACGAATAAAAATGACAAAAACAAAATATAATTTTTATAACGTTAACCTAAACAAAAATGAAAATAAAATCTAATTCAAAATATTAACAAACAATATAGCAGTATATCACAGGGCTCGAAACTGGACTGTTTTGGTCACATATGCTCCCGAAATGTAATCTGTGTGACCCCAAAATATATTTGGGAGCATTTGTGCGAGTGCAAATAATTGTTGTGGTGCGACCTGTCTTCATTTGGTTATATTAGCCGTCAATCACTCACTTTCACTGCATTGCAGAAGCCAGAGACACTGAGGACAGACTCAAAGAGAAGAAAATACTGCAGCTGGCAAAACAAGCTCATTGTTCACTATGCGTGAAATATAGAAATTTAATTGGGAGTGGGGTTTATATGAATGTATTTCTGAGGGGAACTGATTGTCTTGAGAAGTTTAAATGACATTTTCTAATCGAAACAAATCAGTGCAGCGCTGCTGTGTTTACAGCGGTAAGCAAGGAAACGCTATAATGCTGCTCCATAAGCGCCACCTGCTGTCAGAGAGTGAATTTGCATCTTATTCATTAACTAACTGCTTGATTTTTACCATGCATTTCTGCCATATGGACATCAACTTGAGATAGTCACCACTGATAAGCTACTACTAAATATAATGTAGAAACTTTAATTTTCTGTAAAGCTGCTTTGAAACGATTTGCATCGTGAAAAACGCTATACAAATATACTTGAATTGAATTCGGCCGCCCGCTGTTTTTGTTTCGTGCAGATGTTTTATGTAGCATGAATTCACAAAGCTAAAGTCAGAGCATTCTGTTTTTGCTTCAGATTTTGAAATAATACATTCTAATGTACTTCTGAAACCGCTCATGTATGCAGCATCTTTGTTTGGATCAGGATTAAGATGCTGTGGTTGTCTCGGACTGTCCAGCTTTTAATGTATGTAGAAAACTCTTTTATGCAGTGAACTCACTTAAAGAGTTATTTAGTATAATTTTGCAAGGAAATATTTTAGAATTTTTAGCATATGTTAATGTGTGTTTGTTTGTTTGCTGGTTTTTATTGTATTTGTTTTACTTGTATTTTTTGAAGATGCTGACATGGAGTTAAATAAAAATATACTACTACTACGGTGGTTGTCTCTAATTTTAAATGACATCTTATTAATGTACTCAGATTTTAACTTTTCTTGTCTCTTGCTTAAAAAAAAAGAAAGAAAATCAATATTTTAAAGATTGGCTATCAGAATCAGCTTACTCGCTTCTAAAACATCAGCAATCAGAACTGGCCATGAAACATTAATGCATTACTAACAAGAAACAAAGAATTAAGGATCAGGTTCAATTGTTGAAGCTTTTAATCATCAGGATGTTCCTCTCAACTGGCAGCTGCGATGCTCCTTAATATTCAGTGGGTGCTCCTACATTTTTGTTGGTGCTCGGCTCCTAACTTCTTGAAGCATCAGTGCTACAAGTAAAAAAGCTCATTTCGAGCCCTGTATCAATGATACTAGAATAGCGTGGGGGAAACAACCAAAATATTTAAGGCTTTTTCTTAGGAAGCAGGATTTTGAAATAGAGAAGTCTTAATAAAATAAAATGAAATGAAATTAAAAAAAATAATAATAATAAAATAAAACAAGTAAAATATACCCCCTCCCCTGGGGGGAAAAAAACACCAAAAAGTCTCTGCAAAAAAGAAAATAAATCATTATTCAAAAAAAAAAAAAATCATACAGCCATATACAAAAAAAAAAAGTAAAACAACACACTGCTCTGAGAAAAACAAAACATTATTAAAAATTCTCCTCAAAAAAAGAAAGAAAAAATCAGTATGCAAAAAGAAGAATCATTACAATGCAAAACATTACTATTATAGCATTATCACCCTGGTATTATTTAAAAAGTGGTACACAGAATGAAAAAAAAAAAAAATCAAACTTAAAAACCATATAAATATTTTTAACAGTTAATAAAAAAGACAAAAATTCAATTACATTTATATTTTAAATTGAAAAAACAGAAAATAGCATAGGTCGTAATTTAGATTTGGAAAAAATGTAGTTTTACAAATGCTAGAAATGTGGCTTTTAAAGGAAAGATTGCTATTAAATAGCACACCTAGGTTCCTAACTGATGACGAAGAATCAACAGAGCAGCCATCAAGTGTTGGACAGTGTTCTAGGTTATTACATGCGGAGGTTTTAGGTCCGATAATTAACCCCTCTGTTTTTTCAGAATTTAGCAGAAAGAAATTACTCGTCATCCACTTTTTTATATCGACTATGCATGCCGTTAGTTTTTCAAATTGGCATGTTTCGCCGGGCCGCGAAGAAATATAGAGCTGAGTATCATCAGCATAACAGTGAAAGCTAACACCGTGTTTCCTGATGATATCTCCCAAGGGTAACATGTAAAGCGTGAAGAGTAACGGCCCTAGTACTGAGCCTTGAGGTACTCCATACTGCACTTGTGATCGATATGATACCTCTTCATTCACTGCTACGAATTGATGGCGGTCAGATAAGTACAATCTAAACCATGCTAATGCACTTCCATTAATGCCAACAAAGTTTTCTAGTCTATTTAAAAGAATGTTGTGGTCAATAGTGTTGAACGCAGCGCTAAGATCCAATAGCACTAATAGAGAGATACAACCACGATCAGATGATAAGAGCAGGCCATTTGGAATACTGAACTGTTTTTCTTGGACAGCAGGATTTTGAACCAGGTGCATGTTAAAGCTACAGCAGGCTGTATAACAGTGGTCAAACTCACCATCTTTCTTATCCAGCACCAGCTGCTCCATCTCTTTCCTCAGATCCTCCTGGTTTATGTCGCAGGCGTCGAACGCGTCGCTCACGAACTCAGACACGCCGGGGCTGGTGGAGATGTCCTCCTCCTCCTGCTAGCACAGAGAACAGAGGCGCTTAGGTTTTATTTTTATATTATTTAGTTGTTGCAGATGCTCTACATACAGGCTTCTAGTCAATGGCTAATTTGCAGCCCCAGTCCCTGGTTAGGCTTTTAAAACACAATTAAAAAATACATAAAGAAAGTAACAAGTACAGCAAACGTAACAAAAATCCAAGAACCATCAATGCTCACAAACCTGTTTTTGTTTGAACCATTTTTTTTATATTTCTCAGAAAGATGTTCCAACTCTGAACATGTTCCAGAAAACTGTTCCAGAGCAGTGTCCCTTTAACCTTTAACTCGTTTTTCTCTTAGGCACTATACAGCTCTGTGTAGTTGCACCTCTTGTAGTGATCCCTCTACTATTCTGTTTTACTATTAATTGACACATAATATCTGGAGCAAGCTTATACCGACACATTTAAAAACCATTTTAATAAGAAACAGATTCATAAACTTGTCAAAACTAAGCAAACTGTATTTTTGTAAATTGTTACAATGATGCCATCTAATTGATTTCTTGTCTAAAATGTTTAAGGTTTGATTATATAGGGATCTAACAGGTTTAATAGTCAATTGAGAGACCTGACTCCAAACAATCACACAATAAGACATATGTGAGAAGACCGTTGCATGCATATATAACTTAGCTGCTCTAAGTGATAGATACGGTCTAATCGTATAAAAGCAATTCAGGTTTGTTGTGATGGTTTTACAAAGCCTCTATACATGCACATCGAATTTTAATTGAGAATCCAAAATAACACCTAAAAATTTAAAATCAATAGCTGTTTCTATTGCCTTATGGTCAATCATAATTGTAACTTCTGACTGAGAAACACATTGAAACAGTTTCTGAAAAATTCAAAGTCAAGCAAAAGGTCAAGACGCTACCTCGTTGCTCTTGGCTTTAGCGTTGATGGCTACAGGCGGTGTTTTTGGTCTGATGTTCTCTGTGAGCAGGAAAATACATGTTTATTTCCTTTTCCGAGAGTCTAAACAATGACTTTACTATTTATGACGAGTGTCAAAATCTGTCCACAGCCTTATGAATGGATATCCAACAATTCATGATTTGAAATGAGTAAATATTGTGTAGATTTCAAATAAACTGCTATAGCTTTTTGTGTAAATTTCATTTCACAATTATATTGTATCAATGTTATGAGATTCTGTTATAGTTATTATTAATATTAAAATACATTTAATTCGTTTTTATGTTTACATTATCTTTACATTTTTAGTAATTTTGTTGTTTCTTGTCATTTTTAATAGCTTTTTTATAAGTCTACATAGTTTTTTTATTTAATTTTAGTTATTTTTTAAAGTTAATTCATTTTGTTGCAGGGTTATTATTGCTAACTAAAACTAAACCATAAAAAAAAAAAATTAATGACTTTCAAAAAAATTAATGTAAAAAACCTTAAAACTTATTTTATTTTTATTTTATTTATTGCCAAGACAATATTTCTCATTTTCTTTTAGTATTAAGTAGTAAAATAACTAAAAAGTAATAAACCAAAACGTTAAAAAATTAATTTAAAAAAATTGACAAAAACCAACACAACAAAATTAATAAAACATTAGCTAAAATTAGATTGAAAACAGCAAATATTAAAATAACATCTATTTCTAAATATTAAAAAAATCAATATTAGTAATACTGATTATACTAAAACAACAGTATTTTTTGTATTTTAGTTTTTTTTTTTTTAAATGTCTACATAGTTTAAATTCATTAATATTTCAGTTTTAGTTTATTTTAGTATATTAAGCTTCATTAAATGAAAATGAGAGTATTTAAAGTAAGTTCAAGTTTATTTTACATTTTATTTTATTTCAGTGAATGTTTACAGTAAAGTAATAAAAATGTTTTTTAGTGCTTTTAATTATCTATAATAACCCTGAATTGTGAAGTATTATGTTTTTACAGGAATTCTATCAGCCTTCTCTAAACTCTTCCTGCAGTGAGTGTATAAACACCTGAGATGTTCTCGTTCAGCGGCGGCGCTGCGTTCTTCTCCTCTTCTCTCTTTTCGGCTGCCTGTTGTTGAGCCGCGAGAGCCGTGAGCTGAGCCGACTGCTTGATCAGAGCAATGCCATGATCCACTGTTTGAGCTGCAGGAACACTTCAAAATGCTTGATTTGCACTTCAGATGTGAGCACAGATGCTCTCATACACTGACCGAGAGACACAACACAACACTGACGGTCAGTTATCAATGATGCTGAGAGGAATTAAGCAGACAAACATACACACACTCACTCACTCACAAAGACACTCACAGAGACAGACAGACAGCTGTTTGCTCGGTTGATGTAATCCATCTAATGGCTGCTGTGAATTGTGTGTTTGATGACAGATCGAGCAAATAAACCAGCATGTGAGAGCTGCCAGATACTCTGATTGAGCCACTCAAACACACACACACACACAAACGCACGCACACACACTCAGACTCGTCTGCTCTCACAGTCCAGGCATGAATAAACAGGGCATTAACGGAGCCGACTCTCACTGTTTGGGGACGAGGTCAAAGCGCATCCTGTTGAGCAGCTCGTCTTCCTGCAGCATCACCAGAGCCACGGCGTACATCTGCTCAAAGTCGAACTGGAACTGCACTCCGGCCGGAGGGTCGCGCAGGAAGTTCCTCTTGTCCTGAATGACAAAAAAATACCGACAAAAAAATCAGTCATGCAGTTTTGGTTTAAACTTTAAAGTGATCTGAGGGTAGGGCTGCAACAACTAATCGATTATTATCGCTAATGAAAATAATCAACAACGATTCTCATTATCCATTAGTCGGGTCTGCTCACAGTGCACTATTAATTCAATTACAGCACTGAATTACGCATTTCTAAGGAGAAAATGCATCTAAAAACAGTGGAGGAAACAGAATGAGATGCTGCAGGAGAAGTGCGTGAAGCAAGCTGCCCAAAACATGAGAATCTTTATTTTCAGCTTTAAACTAACGTAATGCATTAGTGTAATGTCTTGCCCTGTCAGACGCTTTGACAGATGCGTGTGCGTCCTCCTCAGCGCAAAAACCTTCCGTTTACGGTCACATCCATAGAGATTTAAACTATATTCACTATATACAGTGCTTGACACATTTATGCAAGGTTTTTAACTAATTATGCACGGTTTGTGCCACTGCTGCTCTAAACTAACAGTACTGGTGATTACCAAAATCATTTTCTAGCTTTCTGTATTAGTTAGTCTTCCGATTTGTGTAAGCTCTGTAGTAACAGTAGTAGGCTATTTCTAATGCTATAATATGATTATTGCTGTTGTCTATGAAAGAAAGGCAGAAAAAATAGTCAAGCACTTTATAGTGTTTTTCCAGATGCCCAATTACAGTCAGAAAGTACTTAAACAATGCCAGCAAGCATGCAAGCTGTTATGAAAGATTTTTGTTATTATGTGAATAAATACTATTTGTTTCAGTTTGTTATTTGCCCAATAAATGACTATAACATTTTTAGATTTAAACCGTTTTTTGACAGATTCCTAAAATAATTGTGTTTTCTCTTTATTATGACGGGTGGTCTAATAAATGAAGCACTGTATGTTTTCATAGTGTACTAATCATTTAAATATGGAGTAAAGCTCACAGCAGATAAAGCGAGTATCTGCTGCTGAATGGTTTCCTCCTCGTTGTATCCGACCCAGGGCGGCACCGCAGCGTCTGTGGACAAAAGATTGAGAAAATACATAAATGCATAAAAAGATTTTGCTTTAACATAGCTGTACAAAGTCACAGATGCATGCATTTATGTCCATACCTGTTTTCCTTGCATTTTTCTCCTGGACAAATTTTTCTTGCTCCTTCTGAAAATCTCCCAAAATGGTCTGAAAGAGAATCGAGTCAGAGATGCAACAAGCTCATATTTATTGGTCTGAATCAGGGTTATTATCCTTAACTGGAACTAATACATAAATAAATAAATCATTGAAATAATATAAACTTTAACTGAAATGTGTGTTGTCTAATCTAGCTGCTAAGGCAGTAATGAAGTTGTAGTGCTAAAATAACTAGAAGTAATTCATAAAAATATTAAATATGGACATCTAAAAACAAACAGTCACAAAATTACTACAATTTTAACTAACATTAATGTAAAATCTAAATCTGTATTACTAAAACTAACAAATTAAAATAAAAGCATAAAAATAAAAAAGCGAATAAACTTTAAATAAACTTATACAACTTATAAATAAACTAAAAAAATGGAAAAACGCACAACAAAAATCACACTAAAATTAAAAAAGAACATATAAAAATAAAAAGTAATTTAAAAATATTAATAAAAGTATATAGACATAGTGACAAAAAAAAAAACACACACAACAAAATTACTAAAACTTACAAAATATTAACAAAAATATATAAAAGTAAATCAATGATACTAAAATAACACTGGCCAGGATTTAGCCCTTAATTTTAAAATCAAAGTACAATGCTCTTCATCCAGACAGTGACTAACATAAACTTCATCAATGATAAACATTTTACATTTTTAAATTCAAGTTCATTTTATTACATTTAAAAATGTTAAAATAAAATAAAAAATTACAATTAAAAAATTGAAGTATTTTTTTTTTGTATTAATGGCAATGACACAAGATTAATAGTCACTCTTAAATTTAACATGAAAAATCTAAGGTTTAGTTATAAGTTGTATAATAAAGTTATACTTTTTTTTTTTTTTTTTTTAAATCACACAAAAATTATACAGTTCATCATACCGTTTTTTTTTATTACATTTCTAAGAACATGCCTTTAGTATTTCAAACAAAACTGTTCTATTTCACCATCTTGGGCAATGCATTAGTCCTGAAAATAAACTCATCTCGCTGCGATGTACCTTGACGATGATGCCGTCAATGTTGCTCTCCTCCACCGTTTTCTTGATAGTTTGAGCCGTCTCCGCCACAGACTCAGAGATCTTCTTACTGGCGCTACTTGCAAAGTTCAGAATGAAGCCTGACAGAGAAGCGAGTATAAAAAACACATTCAACTCTGCATAAAACACACACACAGGACAAGACGGTCGATTGCATTTCTTCTAGCAAACATCAGACTCAGAACCAAACTCATGTTTACAATTCCTGAAAATAAAAAGCCCTCATGCGTGCACACACACACACACACACACACAGTCATCTCCGCATGTGTACACTTTTAGTTCATCTTAGACACACCAGAAGGGGAAAAAAAACAACATCCCCTTAATTGTCTGGCAGAGATGGTTTTGTTTGCCTCATGCTTCAACTAGAGCTAAACCACACAAAGGGGAAGAAAAGAAAACGGCACTGACGTCCTATCGGTATTGAGTCACAATGTATTTCCACCTTAGACGCACACTGGAGGTTTTCTGACTGGCAGCTGTAAGCTGGCGTTCACATTCAGGATGTGAGCTTGTGCAAATACTGAGCTTGTGCTGCCGTGTAATGACACACACACACACTCACACACACACACACACACACTCTCACACAAACACACACACACTCTCACACAAACACACACACACAAACACACTCTCACACAAACACAAACACACACTCACACAAACACAAACACACTCACACACACACAAACACACACACTCTCTCACACACACACACACACACACACACACACACACACACACAC